CGGTAAAAAAAAAAAAAACATGAAGAAATGAATATAATTATTCTGACTTATGGGCTCAACGGAACGCATGTACTTGACACATTGCATTTGTTGTACAAATTAACTATTAAAAATGAATTTCCATAAAAACGTATATAAGTACGAGTACAATGTAATAAGTAGGTACTCCGTAGTAGCGCGACAATATATTTGTTTTTACACGACAACTTTTATTTATATTTCATGATTTGTTTTATTATTATTACTATTATTTATTTTTAACTCTTTTCTCTTTTTCGTACACACAGAGTTGAAAAACTCATAATCAATATCATCATCACTTACACTTATGTTTAATTACCTTGTACACACGTCACTAACATTTGTACAGTTGTTGTTTACAATATTCGTGACTAAATCCAACATGATAACAACAAATCGGTAGGTACAAATTAGTGGTGAATTGTACGATAATTCTACATACAGTTAGTATTTAAGAGTGTCGATGTATAATTTATTCAAAGGATATCACCCATTTTCATGATAATAAATATTATGCTTTATTGACTGACATTAACGCTGTTCAACAGCAGCTGTTGCTAGTAAGCTGAGTAAATTGAATAAGTAATCGGTTGAAGACAAAGAAACATCGTAAATAATTTCTATATTTTTAAAAACAACAAATAGATAGATCATTGTATTAGTTGGCTTAAATTAATTCACACTTTAAGTAAAAGTTAAAAAAATATATGATGTAAATATAATGTACTTAAGTTTTTAGATATTCGATGAAAAAAATATTTTATTTTTGGTTTAATAAAATTAAATAAAATTATCGAAATTGAATTATAGTAATTACTATGTAGTTAATATTTCTTCGACTGATAATTATTCATAGTATAATAATTAATAATACTATCCTAGATCAAAAAGTTTCATCATTTTTGACATGAAATATTTGTATAACAGTTTATTCTAATTCTGTAAATTTATACAACAATATACGCTCATAAATTATTATTTGTATTTTTTTGGGCATATATTAACGCATATATGATTATTTTTAGATGTATATTGTAGAGCGTATTTGACCATTTTTGGTGTATATTATGGTATTTTTTAGAGCTACAAGTCCTCCCTAAGCCTACACATAATATTTACAGTATTCACTCGTAAATAAAAATACAGCCACACGGAACAACTGATTTTTTTATTATTACAATGAAATTGATTTAAGTCAATTATTTAGTCTTTAGGTAGCATGTGTATTTTCTCTTTTTTCACTGCACTTGATTCTCGTTTGTTTGATGAACCCTATAAAAGATTTCATGTTTCCTTTATCCGATATGTCGACAAGAAAAAGAGAAAATATTATATCGATTTACGAAAATTTTAATAAATGCATTCCCTTATGTTTCCAATGAAATGCTTTACAAAGGTTCAAACCTTAATAATACCGTAAGCAAAATTGCAAAACTTTTATTACAAAATATTTCGAAATCAAATAATTTTCCTGAGACCCGTCCCGATTGCTTAAAACGAAAACTGTGTAAAGCACTTCTTAAACTAAACTATTTACTGGAGTTATGCCAATAGATGGGGATCCCCTTACGCACGCAAAAGTCATCTTCACTATACTATATGGTTATTGTACTACCAAACGACATGGTTGTTTTACGATTATTAGTAAAAGTCGTGTCAAAACGTGTACATTATCTTACCTTGAAACGCACATATATCGTATATTTTCGAATAAAAAAAATTCTACAATCCGTTTCCTCTTTGTAACTTAACTTTCGTCATAATTTCGAGATTATTTATATTTAAAAATACACAATATCGCTTTAGAAACGGAACAATAGAGATTGTATCGGATCGTTGTGTTCGTACTACGTAATAGGAGTCCGAAATTGCGACACCGGAAGAAATGATGTCAGATGAGTACAGAAAAAAAATCTACAAAACAGTAAACATCAGTAGGCGTAACAGACGTTACGTTGAATACCCGTTAATCGATCGAGAATTTAACAACGTGTCGTATCGCGTTGTTGAGCAGCGACGTCACGAACACCGTAAAATTTGGCTTCGCTGATCCCACGGCTAAGGTACGAGAGACAACGTACGTGATCATCCTGTGGCCGAATAACTATTGTTGGTGTTGCTTTTTGACCGCGGGCGGACACGCGATCGGCGGATCGAAGGACTGCGCGAAGAACGCGTCCGCTACCCGACCGGGCTCCGTTACCGGGTCAAACGGATTTACATAAACACACGTTGTCGCCACGGCGCGCAGCCTCCTGCACCGCGTTGGCAAAATCGAAATTGATACACATCCGTGTGCGGTAATCCTGAAGGGATCGCATAATTTTTCAATAGACGTCGCGTAATCACGTCGACCGCCGCACAGAACCCGTCGGGCGTTCCACCGTCCTCTTTTTCCGTTCCGAAAACAATACGTATTCGTACGCACAACAGTATCCGAGCACGAGCTCACACAAACGTTATCGTAGCGTTGCGTGGGTGTAGCAGCAATAATATACGATACCTGTTTTTAGCGTTTTTTTTCCTTTTTCCTCCTTCTCCTTCTCACTCCGCCCACCCACCTGGCGACTTTTCTACTCTACTTTCACGGGTGCGTTCGGTTTGGTAACAATAAAATTTTTGTTGCCGTGATCGTCCATCAAGTATCTGGAACATTTAGAAGTATAATAATTATTCGTACGCCCCCCCTCCCCTTCGTATGTCGATCAAAATCCTAAGCTGAAAGCGTGGTACATGCACCGTGAATTTATCATATTTATGTACGTGTTGTATTGTATGTATGTATTCGTGTTGTTCACGAATATTTATTTTAAAAAAACCATTCTAAACAGTCCGGATAATCTTTCAGTGATTTTATCGTGATACAGCTCAAAACTATAGCAAGTCCATTTACTCATTTATGTGTCATTTTTTTAATAAGTCGTTCGAAAGTACTGAATGACTTTCTTGTACTTATTATTCAATACTATTGACGATTTAGTCAATTTATTGAACAATCTCCCTCCCCCCCTATAAATTATCATTTTAATTAATCTTTGGTATTGAACGGAGCAGCGATTTTTAAAGTAAACATATTCGTGAAGTATATGTATATATATATATTTTTTTTTTTTTTGTGATCCTTGTATGTTTTATATTGTAAAATTTGTATAATTGTTTAAAACTTATAATAGCATGCGATATGCTGACACATATTTTCAAAAAAATATGTATATATTGACAAATATAATATAAAAAGTTAAATTTTTCTTTAGATCACACGTGCATGCACTATACTAAAGTAACATTCGATTCCTAATTTTAATTGTAATTTTTGTTAAAGTGCGACAGTTATAAGGGCCAAACCAATTATAAAGGGATAAATTTTGTGTACTTACAATAAATAGTCTCGTAACTTACTCGTAATTTCTACCAAGTACCTACATATAATTTTACGTATGAGCAATATATTATTATTCTTATTTGGTATTGCGTTTTGAAAAAAAAAAAATCACCCTACACACACATACTAAGTTAGGTTCTATAAAAAATTTGTTATGATGATTTGATAGTTTTTGATAGTTTATAAAATAAATAAAATGTAACGAAATCATTTCGAAAAAAAAAAGGAATGGAATAGTTGATTCGTAGACGTATACATCGATTTTGAACTAGGATAAAAATAAGTGTGTTATTAAAAGTATTATTTTTTTCAGTGAAAGCATGTATTTCAAATCAAATAAATACTATTTATAAGTTGAAAATATTATATGGCCAATTTAAAACGATATCTGGACCAAAACCTGGAATCGTTTGATAATTAAGTTTTATAATAAGTTTCGACGCAAAAAAATTTAGAATTTGAAAATTGTGTTGATATAGTTAATATTATTTATTATATATTATAATATTATTCGCTCATCGTATCTAGAATAATATCCGAACCGTAACAACGACAACGATTGCAATAACTATTCAACTAGTATGTTTATTGCAATAATATGATAAACGATAAATGATACTATAAAATAATTTTTTAACTTCCAAATATCCAACATCTAAATGACCAAAAAGAAATTTGACTACGTCCAAATTTCATACATCACCTTAATTTTGAGCCTATGCACAATCTATCGATATCCAGTCGTCTATCATTGTATTTCGTCTCATTTGCTATAAAAAATAACGTCTTATCAACAGGTACTCATCTGTATAGCTAGTGATTAAAAAGTTAAAATTCATTTTGTTTCTAATTTATTTTTACACTCATACTCAAGTATCTTAAGAAATAAAAAATAAACGAAAACACTTATGCCCTAGAACCCTCCCCTCCTCTTAAGCCCATTTATATCTGTGTCTGCGAATAACCCAATTTAATTACAAACACTAAAGATTTAATAATTACAACATTTATAACATATTATTGTGAAATAAAAACATATATATGTTTTAATACTCTTTCATACGAGAACAAGTGATGAACTACGTTATATACGCGTAATATTATCCAAGATGACTATTAATATTATAATTATTTTATATTTTTCATACATAATTTCTAACGTGATTGGTTCCAAATGAACCGATCGAAATTCTGAATATGTTACATCGACGATTCAACTACATTACATTGCATTTATAATTGAGTAAAATAAAATAAAAAAATGAAATAAAACTAATGTTCTTATTTGAAAAAAAAAGTTGATCATTCTACAGGGTAAATGAAAAATATGTATATTGAAAAACAGTCTTAAAGCACGTCGTATACATTTTGCGAAAACCAAAATTTAAAAACATGTACATTTAAGCATAAAAAATGGTGTGCATGCTTGAAAACACACTTATGGAAAATATCCGGTCGTTTAGTTTCATTGTACAAGGCACGCGTCATTCGTCATCGTCCAAAATTTATTGTTTTGTTCCCGTCACCATTTTCAGTTTTTTTTTTTTTTGTTATTTTTATTTCTTTTCATTTTCTATTCTATCTCTGTCTTTTTCAGCGTTCAGCATACACACCAGCCGACTGTTCAGCGGGTACCGCGACACGCTGATGTCGTCGTCGAGTGAATCAAGAATCTCAGTGCTTCGACTACTGGGACCGACCAACCAGTCGGCGATCGCCGTGGGCACGTTCTGGTTACTGGCGCTCGCCCTGAACGTGGTACTATTTACCAGGGCCGGGTGCACGCTGTTCAACTACAACGGTACAATCAGGTATGATCGAGCAGGGAAAAAATTAATTGTCATTAGAATACTTATTGTTATTAATATCGTACTAAGAACATAATCTGTATGTGCCCAAAGCTCACTTACACACCGCAGCGATCTGATCTCGCGTTTTAGCAGGGCATCGACTCGATCTATGTGAAAAGGGATTGCGGGTACCCGGGTCGATAAAATTGAACGTCGAATTTTATAAAATCGATCGAATGAGTCGGTTTTATAACGCTCTCCGATCCTCATTAACCTGTTATAACTTAAAGACTCAAGTATTGTACCTATTTTTCATGACTGGTGTAAGTGTCTTAGAAATTTATTTCAGAAAAAAACGTTTTGCGTTAGACAAATTGTGTTTATAAGTAGTAACTCGGTAGCCCATGTTTGTAGATTACTCACTGTACTTCATTCTGTACAAAAATAGCTCACGAATATGAAGCATCGGAGGACTGTGGTATATATTATTATTGTTTAGAAGTATAGGCAGGTTGATAATTTATCTAACAATTATGAAATAAATTTCTGGTATGCCGAACTTACGGAGAACTATTGAAATGAAAAATGGTAAAATTATAATTTAAATAATAATAATAATAATAATAATAATTGAGATACGTAATAAACTGGTTAACAATCTTATTTAATAGCAACTAACCCAAAATAAAATACAAATAAATAAGTAAATAATACATTTTATAAAGACCGTGAATAAATCTGTGTAATTAACGGATTCTCGACGTTGATAGCAATGTTGCAAAATGGTGTACTTACATTAGATTTACAAAATAATACATCAGAATTATAGTTATAATGAAATTGGTAACAATGGCAACTATAAAAATTATAACTAATAGTTAGATGAAAACAATAGTGATATGCTTTCACGTGGGTTAGCGATCGACAAACAAAACCCAGCTGGTCTGTCCACGATATTACAACCAATAAAAAAATATAAATTAGGCGGAAATAGCGAAAATAAATTATTATTTATCAGACATAATTTAAAAATAAAAACAAAATAAAAGCAAAATAAAAACTTTATAGTAGATAATTATTTATCAGACATTATCTACTATACAGTTTTTATTTTGTGCATTTTCAAAATCGAAATCGTTTATAATCATCTGTAAAACGTATTAAATTTTCAGAACTCAATAAAATTAATATATTTATAATTGCTAATGTTTGTTTAAAACATGAGCAATATTATAGTACACAATATAATATTTAAATTGAAAGTAGACATGTTTTTTATAGAAGTTCTATCATTTCAATAGATTAAAATTCATAAGAAAATGCTATTTTTATTTAACTTTTATTTTTTGAGAATAATTTATGAAACTCACTTTAATCTAACGTCAAATAAAATGGAAAGTTAAACAATATGTTTTGACATCACGATGTAACCGTTATAGTTGTTTGAAACTTAGAAAACAATGTTATGAATATTTTAGAGAGCCATCGGCCGAGTTCATTGCATAAAATAATAAACTTATGAGAAAAAACGTGAAATGATATGATTTATGTAAAATGGGTATTGGGTTATAATATTTTAAATTTATGAATGCCGGTAAAAGCATAAACATAAATAAAAATTGTGCTAAAAGTGTTTTCACAAATTAAAAAGAAATAGTGTTAATGCTTGCTAAAAATTAAATAAAAAAAGTGATTGACAAATATAGGTGTTATTAATGATCAGGCCCCTATTTAAAAATTTGGCACCCCTGGGCATATCATTTATGCCCCCCCCCCACCAAAAATAAATAATAATAATATCACACTTATTATTTTGTCCTTAATTGAGATTTTTTAATATTAAAATATAACTTATAAATCAAAATCGATTAATATTTTTTTTAATAAACAAATTAAAAAAAATTATAACATAATAAAACAAACTATTTTATTTTTTTTTCATTAGGTATATCATTTTTAAAATTAATTTTGCTAAAATATTTTGCCGCCCCGAGCATGTGCTCCCCCCCTAAATACGGGCCTGTTAATGATTCTGATATAATAATGATATTCAGTATATTTGGGATACTAAATAATGAATATCTACCCGCCTAAAATTGACCTAAAGATAATCTGCGAATTTTAGCTAGTCAATTATACATTTTTAATTTACTTAATAAATAATAAATTAACAATTATTTAAATCGAAAACACGAATTTTACCGTGAATAGTAATGATGATATCTCATGAAATTATATATTTTGAGCCTCTGCTGAACTATGTTATTATAGTCCAATAATGAATTTATACATAAGAACATTTGATAAGATTTATATTTCATCTATTATGTATCATGGTTAGATTTCAATATGATTTTTATTACACGGAATATGCATATATATAATATATACGTGTTATATATATGGTAAATTATTTCTGATTTTCTATCAATCTATAATGTATAGTAAAAAAACAGCCGAGTTTAATCGAACATTAATTGATACAGCACGACGATCAGGAAATTATTCGTAGTCACTTAAACAATAAAATATAATATATTATATTCAGGAACTTCATGGTTTTTCGAAAGAAAAAAATCGTAAAATAAAAATTTTATCAAAAATAATTATAATTTTTTTTCATTAAACGACTTCTTTCTGTACAAAATCTATGCAAATAATAATATGTTACAATACATATTATAATAACTTAAAATTATAGTGTATGTGTATTTAATTATGATAATAATAATAAAAATAGTTCAAAGTATTAAATAATTTGAATAGTATAAATAATAGTAGATAAGTGAGTTTAGAAAAAATTAGCGTGACCATTATGGCACGAGTAATTTTGATATGAAGTTATTTTTGAGCTGCGTTTTTACTTTTTAATTATTAAATATAAAATACGGATTCAAATTAATTTATGTATTAAAAGGATACATTTTATAGTATAATAATATTTATAATAAATTATTACAAAAAGAAAAAAAAAATAAATGCCATGTATAATAAGATAAGAATAAGTAAGTAGGTATAAAACGAATGTTTAATGAAAAAATATATTATGATAATTTAAAAAAAAATTTTAATACATTTTCAAGATATTAAAATTATAAGCTACTGTGGTTTTTATTTTCATTAAAATATTATGTATAATCCCTTTAAAATAATCAATTACAATTATATCTTTGATACTTTCTTATATGAGGTCTTAAGCACTTGATGATTAAATTCGGTGTATTTTTAAAATCGAATTTGTAAAATACATGAAATCATTTAATTTAAAAATATTCATCAAATTCAACGATTTGATAATATATCTTGGACTTTTACGGATGAACTCAAAACTTTAAATTTCAATTACTAAATAGAAGCTGGTCGACAGGCTTATACATTCACTGATTGCATTTAGTTTCTTCGGTATTGATTTATTTCAATTTCTGTAACTATAATTATAGAACTTGATATTTCATTGGTGATAAAGAAAAATAATAATTATCAGATAACTATTACTAAAATCACTGAATATCCAACAAAATTGTACATGATTTTTTAATCGTTTAATTTTTCTTTAAAAAAATAAAAAGACACGCCAAATTGTTCAACTACTCATGTTAGTACATATAGGTACATAGATGTGTATCTTAAACGAAATTCGGACAAATCGTTCACTTAAAATGATTACTCTACACAATTGTTTAAAATGTATTGTAGAATCTTAATACAAAATCAATTTATTATACGAAAATATTTTTTTAACAAAAATGTGATTGGTCCATAAAAAAGATTTATTATGCCGAAGATTTTGTTGAAGAACAGTATTCGTCTGTACATACAGGTTACCCTCCGCCCATGAAATTCCGATTGAAATACCTCCGATTATATAATTCAAGTTTTTCATTTTAGTACTATTGAACAAAAAACATGCCGTATTAAACACTTATAGTAAAATATGTATTTTCACTCCTTATCCGAGTGAAAAAAATAACTAATTAATTTTTCGTTTCCATAAATTTATATCATACACAGATTATGGTATAAAATGATATAAAAATGTCAATGTACTCGTATCGCGATCGAAAATAAAATTATTTGATTCATAACTAAACAAATTGTATGGCAATAGGAAATGGTAATCGTACCGATAATTAATACTGGCAAGTTAATAAGTTATTATATTTTAGATAGTTATCAGATTTAACATTTTAGGATAGACGATCTTCTACCGACGCATTTACATGGCGCATTATCTGTATACATTTTATACGGTAGTGATGAATGTTAATGAACTTCGAGATATCTAATTTATGGTAATAGATTATCGGTTAATACAATTACAAGGTATCCGATAAAATTACATTTACTTTGATTGTGATTGTAATTCGATTTGCGAAGTAACGGGATAACGTGACGGCGAGCGAAAGTCGAGCAACGGCTGTGGTACGACAGGACCCGTAACTTGCGGTCGCGTTTTATCATTTATTTATTTATTTTTCTATCCGCGAACAATTCACGTGAACGACGGTGGCAAATACTGAAGTGTCGCATGTCCCCGATGAACCTTCACGAAGACCGTAAGACGTGACCGGAAATCCGAATCATAGATTCGTGGAGACGGTCCGAATCGCGTCTCGTTTGGCTTGGCGAAGATACGAATTATTATTGGTAACAAAGCCGAACACGTTTCCCGGACCGTTCTGCGGGATGGAGGGTTTGAATCGTTTCCTTTTACATAAAAAAAACTGGACGATCAAGACGGTTTCGGTTCACTGAACCACATTAGGTTCCTACGGTTTTCGTATTGCGTAATTAATTTGCTACAGAATGTTACGATATCTGTATTTTTGTTTATTGGAAATATGAAAACGTTAATGAGTTTTACATTGTATAAAAATAAACAATGTTTCATCGATAAGATATAATACACAAGTTGGAAAAATGTACAGAATTAGTACAAAAAATTGATAAATAGTTGAACATTAATTTAAATTAATCAATGATAAACGATTGTCATATAATTGGACACATTCGTAATGACC